ATAGACCATTTCGGGATTAAAAATATGCATTTCAACGTCTTATGCTGTTACCTGTCCTGGTTGAGGTGGGCCGGCTAGCTTGAATTATTGGCTGAGAGTTCTAATAGATATATCTCCCTGGTAGGTCCACCTGTATGGCTGACCAAAGTTGTCCGCATTTGTGGTTTTTTGAATTTTATCTTCCTGTCCTGTCCAGATTGAAACAGCAGTCCTAAACTCAACAACCTTACAAATGATTAGACCTCCATGGACTCAAGTGGCGGCTATGGGTGGGGAACCACTTAGATGGTGCCACAACTTACTGCCTGGAGTTGCCTGTTACCACCTCTAAATGTGGCCTACACCAAGTGAACTTTCAGCAGGGGATCAACCACCATGGTATCAAAATTAGAATAATGCTTACAAATTGAAGAATATTCCAAAAAATACAAGATAAAACTAACGGAAATTCAACAGCAAAATAAGGAAGTGGGTATCATATTGGATTTCAATATTATGGGTCAAGGTCTACCAGATCAATAAAATGAACCAGAAAACTGGACAAGTGCTACAATAATTAGACCATAGCTGTAATTAAACAATTCTTTTCCAAGTGTCAGAACCTTAACAACAATGTACCACTTTTCCTACTTGTAAAGAACTTAGCAATTCAATGAAGACAAGCTCCATCATCAACAAGTTCTTGGTCAATGATAAAGCAGTTAGTTTGACTTATCAGCAAGATGCTTTCCAAGAGATGGAGAAATTTGTTGAAGAAGTAGGAAACCTGAAGAAGATAAGAACTCGAGGAAACCTGAAGAAGTAGATGAGCAAGGAACCATTAAGGGGACAGATACCATGAAGATTCAAGGGGTCCACCACGTAATAAAAATGTAGATCAAGGGTCAATAATCCCTGAAGACGACAGTTTGCACCTGAACGATGATAGTATAACAACAGTATTGTAGGCAATTAAAAACCAACATGAATCCCAAATTTAACCAGTAGTGTTTTCTTTCCCTTTGTTCCTGTAATTATCAAAAAAGGGTAGATGTAAACTGCTTACTGCAGCATATACCGCTGTACATATATGCTGGAAATTCTCAACACAAAAGAAACCAATGAGAAAGAGATAGAAAACAGAAAGTGGCAGACACTGATTCATATTCTTATCCTCAGGATACCCAAAGAAAGACAACAAGACTTGAAGCCCAAAAAAAACACCAGATTTTGCTTGCTATTCCTTCCGCCTTGGTTCAGGGCTACTTTCAATCAAGCACTAGCCCAAGCACCACATAGTTGAAACTGTAAGCAGGTGGACCATCTAATTCTTTGAGCCTCTGATTATTCACCACCTCAAATAGCACATGGTTGGCACAACTGAAAAACTTGCATGGTTAAGCAAGCACAAGGCATAAAGAGAAAAACTAGGCATTTATCATAAAACACTTGGTAAAACTCCAATTTCAGATAGCAGCAAGAAGTTATAAAATAGACATAAATCATTATGCTAGTCATTCACATTTTAGACCACGTTACTTGTTTCAATATTAACCTAGTCCCATTTATTTATTCTTCTTTATTTTGGCCCCAATTCACTACAAGAGTACACTTCAAGCTTTTCAAAGTCCTCATATTTGCTTTGAAAATCTAATCAATTGTTGCTAAGAAACCTTCCCATCAAAGACAATGTCAAATCAGCCCCCACAAAGCAGTGGCAAATCATCAAATAACAGAAATTCTTGGTTCGTTATACTAACCTAGATGATGTTTTTCCCCGGAAAGTAACCCAAATGAAATATAAAGATGTAAACACCTGCAAGAATCAGGTGAGTCACACTCAACGTAGCTTCAGTAATTTGTCACCAGTATGAAAACAACTCAATAGGGTTTCAAGCTTCAATATAGGAATAAATAACAACATAAGGAAGCTATTAGTTCATACACATCATATACCCCATACCGTAGCAGTGACGTGAGATGCTGCTGCTCTGAGATTTTTTCTGTTATCATACTTCTTTGGAAGTTTAACATATTCTAGGCAGAATCGAAATGAAAGAAACATAAATACTTATATCACATACAGCAGGACTTTCAGAATTCTTAATCACACACACACACACTACAGTGTTTGACGAAAGATTGCAAGAACAAATCTCTTATACTAATTTAATGGCAAAAAAAATTGAATACATGATAAAAATGCACAACGTATTCAACCAATCCCCTTATCAAAATATTTCCTGAAAATAAAAATATGATGGGTGCAACATTATGAAGATTCAATTATAGGGATCAACAGCATAAGGCTTGCCCACTTGAGACAAACAAAGAAAATTGTTACAAAGCTGACACATCGCAGAGGTACGATTCTTATATCTTGTTTGGAACTCACCTGGCAAAAAGAAAATTTCAAAGGTTTATCTCTCAGAATCATGTAACAAGTCCTCATGTTTCTCCTGACTGACTAATAGTTCCAAAACTGAGTATATTTCTTCTTTCGAAGGGTGCAACCTATCGGATACAGTAAAAGAATGTAGTCTATTTTCAAGTTCTAACCAACTAATGGCTCGCTCTTTCCTCACATGTCTCTCATTCATAAGCTTTCTCACTTGCTCCACAGAATCCCACTTCCCAAGGGCAGCATGAATACTTGAAAGTAGGACATATGCTGCAGAGGATTGAGGCTCCAACTCAATAAGGTGTTCAGCTGCCTTTCTTCCCAACTCTATGTTTCCATGTATCCTGCAAATGCCAAGCAATGCATTCCAAACACGATTATCAGGTTTACATGGCATCTTCTCAAGCTGATTCATCACCTCATTAAAACATCCTGCTCGACCCAAAAGATCAATTAGGCATGCATAATGTTCTTCATCCGGAACAATGCCATAATCACGACTCATTGACTCAAAATAGCTAAGGCCTTTCTGGACAAGCCCTGAATGACTACATGCATTAAGAATGACAACAAATGTGATTCTATCGGGTTGCACACCTGATCTCACCATGCCAACAAACATTATTATTCCATCCTCACCATAACCATGCTGGGCATAGGCAGATATCATTGTGTTCCACAACACAACATCTTGTTTGTTACCCATCATATCAAAAACCTGTTGCCCAACTCCCAAACTTCCACACTTCGAATACATGTCAATGAGAGAGCTTACAACAATAGTATTAGGTTTGAAACCAGTCCTTATTAAAGAGGCATGGATTTGTTTACCGTGCTTAAGTGAAGCTATACTAGCACAAGCACATAGGCAACTACTAAAAGTGAATTGATCTGGTTTCACACACCACATCATCATATTTGTGAATAGCTCAAGGGCTTTGTATCCCATGCCATTGCGAGCATACCCTGAAATCAAAGCAGTCCAAGAGACAGGGTTCTTCTCTGGCATCACATCAAATAGTTCTCTAGCTGATTTCATATCTCCCCACTTAGCATATCCCGAAACCAAAGTGGTCCAAGCAAGGACATCCTTTATGGAGACCTCATCAAACAATCTCCTTGCACCATCCATCTCCCCACCTTTTGCATAAGCGTCAACAATGGAACTGGAAAGAACCACATTTGACAAAAACCCAGCAACAGAAACCTGACAATGAACTTGCCTGGTAAGTCCCGATTCCCTTAACTTCACACAAACTGTCAAAACCCCAGCAAAGCTAAACTCATTAAAGCTAATATCTGATCTCCTCAACTCTTTATAAAACCTCAAAGCCTCATTACAATCCGCAATTCGAGCGTACGCAATAACCATTGTATTCCACGACACAACATCCCTTTCAGGCATTTCATCAAACAACCTCCTCGCTGGCTTCACCATTCCTAACTTTGCATAACCAGAAAGCATATTGTTCCAGGAGTATAAATTCCTCATAGACATTTTATCAAACATTTTACGAGCTTCGGCATGATCGCCACATTTACAATACATGTATATCAAATGGTTCGATACTAACGTGTTCGGATGTTTCAAACCCGTCAGCTTCAAATGGAGGTGAACCCATTTGCCTTCTTTCAAAGAATTAGAGTTTGCACACTCTTTTAAGAGAAGAGAAAGCGTTTTTGAGTCTAAGCGCAGGCCTTTACGTGCTAAGAGGTCTAGTGATTCGACGGCTTGTGTGAGGTGGCCTTGAGATAAGAGGTTGAAGAAGGTTTGGACGATGCAGGGAGGCTTGATCTTGGGCTTCTTGTTATTGGGTTTGGTTCGGAATGGGACTCTGAAAATGCGAGTTTGGGAAGAGAAAGAGGGCATTGGAGATGGAAAACATGGGAGAACGGTGGCTTATTCTTCACCTACGATGTGTTGGGTGTTGATGAAATCAACGGTTGAGAGTTGAGCTCCGGCGAGTATCGCCGGTTGTGAATTGTAATGGACCAAACCTTGAGTATTCCAGAAGTCCGTCGTTGGTGGGTCCCATTCAGTTCTGGGAATGTTAATGGGCTTTTTTTCTTGAGATTGAAGCCCTGGTTTCCGCGTACGTTTTACTTTTTAGGCCCAATTAACGAAGATGGCGGACTTCAGTCGATAATTATAAGGTTTTTTTGAAAGCCGATATACCTGATTAGACTTATTTAGTAAAAAATATATAAAATAAAATGTGAGTTAAAAAGAGTTAAATGTTTATTTTAGGGTCATTTAATTCAAAATCTCATATCTTTAATGCACATTAATTCACGTGTGTTTGTTAATACATATAAATACGTATATATATACTTATATAATATTAACAAATACACATAAATATAAGTATATATATACGTATATATATATAGTGTGTATATATTTGTTTATATACACGTATATATATACTTATATAATATTAACAAATACACATAAATATGAGTATATATATACGTGTATATATACTTATATATATATATATATATATATATATATATATATATATATATATTTGTTGTTAAATCTCTTATTTAAATTTTAAATTATTTTTAATACACTTTAATTCGTGCATATTTAAAAAAAAATAGTTTTATTTTCAAATTAATTTAATATCCGAATAATATAATAGTATAACAATAACAGTGTTATAATAACAGTATAACAAAAACAGTGTTCAGTGATTTTGTGTATATGATAACAAATTCAAAACGAAGATGGACTATTTTTAATGAAATTATATGTTTGACAAAATATAATAGTACAATATTTTGTGTAAATAACTTGTTACACTATTATTGTTATATTATTACATTATTAGTATTACACTGTTACACATTTATTGTTACATTGTTATTATTACACATTATATTGTTACACTATTACATTATTCGGATATTAAATTAATTTAAAAATAAAACCACTTTCTAAAAAAAATGCATGAATTAAGATGCATTAAAAGATAATTCAAAATTTAGATAAGAGATTTAATAACAAGTATATACATGTATATATAAAAACATGTATATATATATATATATATTAAAGTTCTCCCATAAAACTAGAAGATGTTTAATGCACCATTTTTCAAAGAAAAGTGGTGCATTAAATACACATGAATTAATGAAGGGCAAAAATGTCACAATAAAAAAAAATAAATTCAAATTTTATCTACTTGGATACAAATAAGTATCAAAATTAAGTACTTAATAACCCTACATTTTTTAGTGTGTACTTTTTGCCAAATAAGTCTAATTTGGTGTACCCCTTACAATTTACTCATAATTATAACTTGGATAAATTGTACCAATGATTCTTGAGGTTTGTCGATTATTGCATTTTCATCCTTAAACTTATAATTTTATCAATTTCATCATTAATGTTCATACATTGACTCACTTTGATCTTTACTCTTAATTTTTGTCCAAAAAAAGTGACAAAAAATGTTATGTGTCAAGCACACGAGGGTGTTGAGGAATATTTTTGTCATTATACTCTCAAAACATTGGACATAAATGAGAAAATAAAGTAGTCTAACAAAAAGATTTAAAAAAAAATTGCTTTCTCTCTCTCCAACTCCATCTCTCTCTCTCTCTCCCTCTCCTACCAGTGACCACTCCATTTCTCTCTTTCTCTCTCTCTCTTTCTCTCCACCGCTAGAATCGACTGCTACCATCCACCACCGTTGAAATCGTCCACCACCACCCACCATCTTTAGAATCGACGTTGGATTCAATTGTCACCGCTAGAATCCATCTCCTCTCTCTTTCTTTCTCAATCTTTCTCTCTTTCCTCTTCTCTTTCTTTGGCTTCTTACATTTTCAGCGCCTCACACACAAATACAGTACATACCCTACCCTAAACAACCATTGCAAACCTCACACGCTAGACACCACCTCCATCACCCCCACCTGAGCAGGCTCCCTTCCCCCTTCCCAAAGAGTTTTTTCTATTTTACCCTTAAGTCACTATCAATCACTCTACCCCTAAAAATCTCTTTAATTTTTATTTTATTTGATTTTTATTTTGATTTTGAATTCAAACTTCATTTCGATTTATATTTTTAAATTTTGATTTTGATTTCGTTGATCATTCTATTTGTGATTTTTAATTCGTATTTGTTTTTAATTTGGATAAAAATTTGATTAGTAAGCGGTACGTCAGTGGTGGTGTGTGTGATTGTGTTTTGTGTGTAGCGAGAGAAAGATACAGTTGCTCGGTATGGTGCATTTGTGGAGATCTCTCTCTCTATCTTGCAGAGCTCAAAGATAGATAGTTGCTAAGTTTGTGCATTTGTGCGTGCAACTATGTGTGTTGTGTTGTGGATATATATTTGTGGTTTTGTGTTAAGGTTTTTGATGGACAAATGTGTTGGGTTTTGAGGGGTGGAGATGTAGTAACCAGGGAGAAAATTATTTTTGTAGGAGAGAGAATAGAAAAAAAAAAAGGGAAGTAAAAGTAAGAAAGGAAGGATAAATAGTTATAAAATACTAAAAATTCCCTTAATACCCTTATGTGTTTGGCACATGATATTTTTCGTTACTTTTTTCGGATGGAAGTTAGGGGCAAGGATCAAAGTAAGTCAATGTGTAAACATTGAGGACGAAATTAGAAGTTTAGGGACAAAAATGCAACAAATGGCAAACCTTAGAGACCATTAGTGCAATTTATCCTTATAACTTGAAAATTTTAGAAGTCGGTATAAAATTTAGACTTAATTGAGCTAAAATACATCAAAAAAATTTATTTGATCATATGTGCATTTTTTTGAAAAAAAAAGGCTAAAAAGTCATTTATTACTCTATTATTCCATTACTCTCTCTTCTCTATTTTCTCTCTATCTATTTCTCTCTCCCCGTTACTTTATCTATCTATCCCCTATTTTCTATCTCTCTCATTGATAATTTATTTTTTTTCAAAAATGTAAATATTTGATTTAATTTTTTCATTTCTCTCCCACTCTCTCTTCTCTTATTTTCTCTCATTGTTACTTTTTTTCTCCTCATTTTCTCTTCTTATATCAACGTTACAATAACATAATTATATCAATCAGTTACACAAATTAGTTACAATTACTCTATAATATACCAAATAGTTACACTAAATAATTACACAAAATTACAACACCAACCCAATTTATCATAAGGGACTGTTTATTTGAAGTATTAGAATGGTACAAATGGGTGGTATTAGAGAAATAGTACGTAGGACCCACCTTATACCTTATTTGTAATACCGACCCGGCATGAACAGTGACTTAAATACCTTGTATACGGTGCTATTGAATACCACCTACTATGTGGTATTATCTTCCCGGTACAAATGAAATGACTGTATAAGAGACTAAAATGACACAAATGCCCTCATATATAATTTTCTTTTTAAGGTTACAAGGTTATAATTATTTTTTTACCACCCATAATTACAATTGTTGACTTTTTTAAGTAGATATTATATAGATAATGTTTGTGACAAACAAATAAGGGGAATGGTGAGATTTTAGTTTAAGACCGGATATAATATATCATTGGATAAGAGTGGAATGTAAATGATTTCTAATACCACCAAAATCTAATACTAAAAAAAAAAACAGCCCCTTAGTGTTTATATAAGTCAAAGAATTACACTATTTAGTATCACGACATAGTTACACCAATTATATACACCAAATTGAGCTTATCATTAGTATATATAATTGGTGCAACCATGTTGTGATATTAAATAGTGCAACTCTTTGGTTTATGTAAACAACTGAATGATAAATTGAGTTAATGTCATAATTTTGTGTAATTGTTTAATGTAACTGTTTAATTTTATTAGAACATATGATTAACTGATTGGTATATTATGGGGCAATTATAACTGATTAGCGTAACTGTGTGTGTTATAATGTTAATATAAAGAGAGAAAAAAAAAGGAGAGAGAGCAACGGTGAGAGAAAATAAGGTGAGAGAATGAGAGAGAGAGAAAATAGCAGAGAGAAAGATGAAAAAATTAAATCAAATTTTTATATATTTGAAAAAAAATATTATTAATGGGAGATAGAGAGAAAAAGAGAGTAACGAAAAGAGAGATAAAAAGAAAATAGGGGAGAGAAAGAGAAAAAGAGATGGAGAGAAAATAGGAGAGAGAGAAAGTGAAATAATTAAGCATAATTTAAGAAAGAGTAAATAAGTAAACAAATTCAAATGTCATTTGAATTTTGTACTCAAGTACAAGATGTTTTATTAAAATTGAATTTAATATAGTAAAATATTTTTCCATGCATTTCCTCTTAAATAAGTTTTAAAAAAATGTATCTACACCCAAAAAATCGTTATAACTTTACAAGCAACGTTATAGGGATCTAATTTGGAGACTTAATTTAATATAATTATTAGATTAATTTTGAATTTTAATATTAAATGGAACTCATTACTAATAACCCGATTGAGGTTTCTATCTAAATTAGATCAGTCAACCTGACAAAAATCGAATTGGATTCGAAACAAAGTCTAATCTAGTGACAAGTGGAGTGGTTTTCCATAGAAAAAAAAAATAGTTAATTAGGTTAGGGTTCCTCCTTTTGTGTTTAAATTAATTTTAGTCCTATCAAAATTTTAATATATAAAAAAGTCTTTTGTGTTTTTAAAAAAAATTACATCCGGTTTCTATATGGGTGCGAATGTTTAGGGGTTGGGCAGTTAGTGTGTTTTTATTACCCATTTTATCTCATCACATAATTTCAGCGTAAAATATAGTTAGTTTTTTTTTTGTTGAAGATTTTGTGGTGTTGTTATCTATTAATTTTGAATTTCAAATTCATGAACCAAGCAATTTAGAAATATACCGGTTGTTTATCTTAAGCGTTAATTTGGTAGGTACACAAATTAGATCACATTAGTTAAGTTTTACGTATTCGTCGGTAGATTTAGATATCCTCGTTATGATTTACATAATTTGAATTGTGTTTGGTTTTGTATACTTGTGTATCTACAATGGCATTTATGTACATCCTTCTAAATTAAATACTGATGTACCTATTTCGTGAATGTATATATTAGTATAATATACCTGAATGATTATGTATGTTATACGTCGTATATGATATATTTGTGTACCTATATAAACACTTATATATTAATTGTTTACTTGTTGTGTGCATAATCATTAATGTTTGTGAGCATGCTTATCTTTCATATTTGTTAATAGTTTTAAGTACATGTTCGTTATGATTTATGTAATTTTGAATTGTATTTGATTTTATGTATTTATATACATGTAATGGTGTATATGTATCTTCTTATCAATTAAATACTTATGTACCTATATCGTGAATGTATATATTTTTATAATGTACCTGAATGATTATATATATTGTTCGTTATATATGATATACTGTGTACTTATGTATCTTAATGTACTACGAATCACCACTTAATGAGCAAGTTAATGACGTAGTTTTTTAAAATAGGTGTTTCAATTATTTAATGACATTGTCGTTATTTTTGCAATTTTAAAGGGAATTAGTTATGTTATTGTATTTTAAAGGGAATTAGTTATGTTTATTGTTTTGACTTTTTTAACTATGACCTAATCCAAAAACAAATTGACGAGCGAATTTTTTTTGAAATCCTATTGGGCCAAGGTATCTGCATCCAAAAAACTGAAAAAAAAAATGTTTTTCTTTCTCAAAAAGGAGAAAATATTCATTACAACGGTGATATCACGTGACAAGGTGATGTGGCATCACCAACTAATAGTACTAAAACAAATAAGCACATAGAACCTACAAAAATCAATAACTAACCTGCCATGTAAACAAATAACTTCTCACCTTCCTGCTATGTAAACCCAAGTGGGGTTCACCTTTCTCATTTAGAGTTTTATTATTAGTAGGTGATATCATGTCATCAATAATGACGTGACATCACCGTTGTATTCAACATTTACTCCTCAAATAGAGTGGATTTGCAAAGCATTCACCTATTAAATAGAAAGAATAATCATGCCATAAAAAATAGGGAAAAGTCTATAATATTGAAAAAATTATCATGCCAAAGTTATAATTTTTTATGATAAAATTATATCTTTAAAAGTAGAAGTTATAACTATTCACGTTTACAGATATTCATAAACGATTACAGACTTCTCTTGAGTAGCCGTAACTTCTTCTTTATAAGTTATAATTTAATTTTTAAAAATTATAACTTAACCTTGAAAGTTGTAATTTTCGATATTGATCGCAATCTTTCATGATTAGGGGTGAAAATTGTCCCGAATTTGTGTCATGTCATTGCGGATTCGTGTCGAGCACTAATCAACTTTAACCTAACTTATTTAACTAACCGCGCCATATCGCTTAACCTGTTTATTTTTGTATCAGGTTGTTGTTCTTGTTAACTTATATAAATCTCGAATAAAAAACTTAGTAATATGATTTAAATTTAAGATTTTATTATCAATTAATTGAATCCATGCTTATACTTTTTCTCTAAATTAAGAATTAACTTAATAAATAAAACAATAATAATGAGTAAAAATATGTCTTTCGTATAATAATTATGTCAATGCTCAATAAACAATAATAAATAATTAAATATTTTATTTTTATAATATTTGTTAAACGTGTTAATCGTGTCAATTTCGTGTTGTTCGTATTCGATAATAACTCAATCCATTTATTATTCGTATTAACGAGTCATTTTATTTACAAGTTCGTGTTAAAAAATGATGGTCAACCTTAACCTTCTAATTTTGTGTGAAATTTAAGTCGTGTGTTCGTGCTATGTTAGAAATTGTCACCCCTATTAATTATCGATATACTATTTATAAGTTATAAGATATTTTTTAAAAAAATTATAACTTTATTTTAAAAAATTATAATTTTCAGTAGTATACCTGTGAGGGGATCATAGCCTTTACCTAAAAATGGCATCAATAATGATTCCTCTATGATTAAACGAATCTGCCATGAAACAAAAGCCATGGAACAAAACAAGCAAAAAGGCTCAAGCTAATAAAGTCTGATGAGATTGAAACGGTCACATAACTAGCGAAAACAGAGCATGTGTGATGTTTGTGACATCAACTAATGGAAAAGGGGAGAGAAAGACAATGAGGAAGAAAGTGAGAGCAAGAGGTTGGATTTGGAGGTGGTTGGAAGTGTAAATAACATTTCTTATATATTTTTTGCTGGGTATTAGGATCCACCTTTTTTTTTTCATTGATTTAGGTAGTTAGATATATATAAATAAAAAAAAATGATTTAGAAATATTAAAGCAACTATTTAAATTGCAAGAATAGTTGAGATTATAAAATACTTATTATTTAACTTTTTTTTTATTGGTTCAATAATCAAGAGTATTTAGATAATTTACGCACACTTCAATTAATTTTTTCTCTGATTCAAGCCGATCTGTCTCTGTTACCAATTACGCTCTCTTCACTTTATCATTTAACTTTGATAAGGAAAGATAATTAATAAATTTGGGCTTTGGTGTCAAGCATGCGAGAGGGTTGGTGATTTTTCAGGTGACATAGTATTCAATGATCTCTTTTTCTGTCAATAATTTTTAAAGAATTGAGGGCTTGCACAATAAAATGATAATAAAAATTGATGATGTCTATATTAAATAATTTATCATTTTTTTTATTTAAATAAATGCGAATGATTTGATTAGTTGGTCCCACTAAAAAAAGTTAATCAAACTAATTGATTGAATTATCAGCATTAATCGAATAACTAAAATTTAGTAAAATACTTGATTTATTAAATAATAAAATTTTAGAAAAATATAGATCAAGATTAAGCTAAGAAAGTAAGAAAACACTTCAAATTGTTATATTATCACAAATAGTGGACGGTCCATCATAGTTCTCAATCCCTACACGTGACGGTTCACGAATTACCACCTGGTCTGTAAAACACCTAACCTTTTCCGCCTTTTACGAGTCTACGTCACCATTTTTTTAACCGGGTCCCACGTCACCATGACTGGGCGTTTTCTACGATAACCTACACACCTTCCCTTACCGTTCGATCACAAACCCCCAACCTTTCTTGTCGGTCGATGCTCTGCTAATCCTCAATTCTACCTACTGGTCAGCCGTAGAGAAAATATAAGCACAGAGATAAGAAGGAAAGAAAAGAGAAAATCCTTGTTCTATTGCGGAAGAAGAGCTCTCTCTCTCTCTCTCTCTCTCTCACACTCTACATCCTTTCTCGCTTTAACTAAGCCAGCTCTCTCCTTCTCTATCATCCACATAATCAGGTAATCCTTTTTCCCACTTTTGTTTTATCATTTACTATTACGTATTGGGTTTTTTTATTTAATCTTTTAACTTGCTTTTAATTCCTGCAAAACCCTTGTGAATATTGGACTCTCTCGAGATCTGATATATTTGTACTGATGTTATGTAATGGGGTTTTAGTGGGTTTTTATTACATTGATCTGTTGCTTGTATTTTGTGTTTAAATCGATATTGTTTGTCTTTGGGTGCTGTGGCTATTGTTTGTATGCATGAAAATTATCTTTGTGGTTGTTCATGGTAGATATTGACATATTTTCGATATTTTGGTAATTAGGGTTTTTTTTTTTTGTGATTTCAGTGAATTTAGGGTCTTCAGTGTTGTTTTGTGATGGAAAATGGGGTTGGGATTGTTGATGGGTCTCATTTGGGAGAGAAGAAAGGTGTGGAAGATGAAGTTTTGGAGTTGAGAGCAGAGGAAAAGGCTGTAATTGGGTCGGATGGATCTAAAGATTCAGAAGAAGATGAAGTGTTTGAGGAGGCGGTTGAGGCAGAGACGCCAACAGTTGATTCAGAGGAGCTTGCTGTAACTAAAGGTGGTAATGTTGAGAAAACTGGGAATTTGGGTGGTTCTTTGGAAGTTGATGAGAAGTTGGATGTAGCACATGAGACTGAGAAGTTTGAAGAGGCAATTGGAGTTCCCACTGAGATTCACAATCCTGAGGAGGCGGCTCCTGTTGTCATTGGGGAGAAGGGGGGAGGTTCCATAGGCCTGGAGCCTGTTGATGAGGCTCCTGTGAAGGGGATGGAGGAGGAGCGTAGTCCCTCCGAGGAAGTTGTGAGGGATTTGTTAAGTGGGTTGGAGAATGATAAAAATGAATCTGATGTTGGTGCTGCTGATAAAATACAAACTCTGGAAGATAGAGATGAGGTGTATGAGAATTCCGGTCTTGTGCTTGAGAGGCTGGAACTTGGGGTTTCGAATAATGTGAATTTGGAAGGACTACTGGTCGGTGAAAACAAATCTGATGTTGGTGCTACTGGTAAAATAGAAGCTCTGGAAGATAGAGATGAGGTGTATGAGAATTCCAGTCTTGTGCTTGAGAAGCTGGAACATGGGGTTTCAAATAATGTGAATTTGGAAGGACCACTGGTCAGTGAAAACTCAGATGATGGAGATGTTGACAAGCAGGAAATGCTGGTTGAGGACAAATTAGAAACTAGAGATGCCAACAAGGTGAAGGGAGGTGATACTGATTCTCAGCAAAATGTTGAATCCAGCGGAGAGATTTTGCATCTAGCAGAAAAGAATGTGGAAGTAAATCCAGCATCTGGTATTTTGGAGTCTGAACATCAAAATGACAAGAGTGGGGAACTGGAAGATGCTTCAGCTGGCCTTTACTCTGAGCATCAAGTTGACAATATTGAAGAACTAAAGGACGATGTGGTGGACCTAAACACTGAAGAACTGAAAGATGAGAGTAAGCAACTGAAAGACGAAGCTTGGGCTAGACCAAATGCGGGGCATCAGGATGACAATGGTGAAGAACAGCAGGACATTTCGGTTAATATGGATTTAAAAGATCAAGTTGACAGGAATCGAGAACTGAACGATACCTCAGACATCATTGAGTTGGAGAATTGTGGTGGAAACTGCAAACAGGAAGATAACCTTCATACTTCAGTGGAGGAAAGGAGGGTAAGTACCGAGGTTCCCTCTGAACCTTCTCTGGGGAATGCTATTGAGAAGGATGAGAAGAATCAAACTCCCACTGCTGATTTGGGAGCTGAAAATTCTAAGGGTCCTCAATCTCAACTTGCAGTGTCAAATGTTGCAGTTTCCAATGGTGAGGCAGAGGAGCCTGAAAAGAAAGGAGCAAAAGATGAGGGGATGAAGCAAAGCCCTCCAGAAAATAGAGAACAAGAGATCAGGCCTGTGGCAGGCGTTCCTTCGTTCCCCAGGAGATCTTCAAATTCCGCTTCCACTCCTGCTCGTCCTGCTGGTCTTGGCCGTGCTGCCCCTCTATTGGAGCCTGCTCCGCGAATAGTACAGCAGCATCAGGTAAATGGATCAGCATCCTCGTTGCAAAACCAGCTGATTGAAGACCCAACAAATGGAGAGGCGGAGGAAAACGATGAGACCCGTGAAAAACTCCAGATGATACGGGTCAAATTCTTGCGCCTTGCTCATAGGCTTGGGCAGACTCCCCATAATGTTGTTGTTGCTCAAGTTTTGTATAGGCTGGGATTAGCGGAGCAGCTGCGAGGTAGAAATGGGGGCCGTGTTGCTGCCTTTAGCTTTGACCGTGCAAGTTCTATGGCAGAGCAGCTAGAAGCAGCTGGCCAGGAGCCCCTTGATTTCTCTTGCACAATCATGGTTCTTGGTAAAACGGGTGTTGGCAAAAGTTCAACTATCAACTCAATATTTGATGAAGTTAAGTTTGGCACTGATGCTTTTCAGGTAGGGACAAAGAAGGTTCAGGATGTTGTGGGAACTGTGCAGGGGATCAAGGTAAGGGTTATTGACACACCAGGCCTTCTACCTTCATGGTCAGACCAGCGCCAGAATGAGAAAATCCTCCTGTCTGTGAAACGGTTCATTAAGAAAACACCCCCTGACATTGTTTTGTATCTTGATAGGTTGGATATGCAGAGCAGGGATTTTGGTGACATGCCATTATTGCGCACTATCACTGAAATATTTGGACCATCAATATGGTTCAATGCGATTGTGGTTCTGACCCATGCTGCAGTTGCTCCGCCTGAGGGCCCAAATGGTACTGCTACGAGTTATGATATGTTTGTCACTCAACGGTCTCATGTTGTCCAGCAAGCAATTCGCCAGGCAGCTGGAGATATGAGGCTAATGAACCCTGTCTCTCTGGTGGAGAACCACTCAGCATGCAGAACAAACAGGGCTGGTCAGAGAGTGTTGCCAAATGGTCAGGTTTGGAAGCCTCACTTGCTACTTCTTTCCTTTGCGTCCAAAATTTTGGCTGAAGCAAATACGCTTCTAAAGTTGCAAGATAGTCCACCTGGAAAGCCTTTTTCTAATCGAGTTAGAGCACCTCCTTTACCATTCCTTCTTTCATCCCTTCTCCAATCCAGACCCCAGGTGAAACTTCCAGCTGAGCAGTTTGGGGATGATGATGACACTCTGGATGATGATTTGGATGAGTCTTCAGAGTCTGATGATGAATCAGAATATGATGAATTGCCTCCATTTAAACGGTTGACCAAGGCCCAGCTGGCAAAGCTTACTAAATCTCAGAGGAAGGCATATTACGACGAACTAGAGTATAGGGAAAAACTTTATATGAAGAAACAGTTGAAGGAAGAGAAAAAGAGACGGAAGATGATGAAGAAAATGGCAGCTTCAGCTAAGGATTTGCCTAGCGAGTATAGTGATAATGTTGAAGAAGAGAGTGGTGGTGCAGCATCTGTGCCAGTTCCCATGCCGGACTTGGCCTTACCTGTTTCTTTTGATTCTGATTACCCAACTCACCGGTATCGTTGCCTTGATTCTTTGAACCAGTGGCTTGTGAGACCTGTCTTAGAACCTCATGGTTGGGATCATGATGTTGGTTACGAAGGCATAAATGTAGAGAGATTATTTGTGGTTAAAGACAAGATACCTGTATCTTTCTCTGGCCAGGTCACTAAGGATAAAAAGGACACTAACCTCCAAATGGAAATGGCAAGTTCGGTGAAGCATGGCAAAGAGAAAGCAACTTCTTTGGGTTTTGATATGCAAACCATCGGAAAGGAGATTGCATACACTTTTCGCTGTGAGACCATGTTTAGCAATTACAGGCAAAACAAGGCAATGGCTGGTCTTTCAGTAACTCTTTTGGGTGACTGCTTAACAGGTGGAGTGAAAGTCGAGGACAAGTTGATGGTTACAAAACGAGGCCGGTTGGTTGTGTCTGGGGGTGCCATTTTTGGTCGTGGTGATGCTGCTTATGGTGGCAGCTTGGAAGCCACCTTGCGAGATAAAGATCATCCTTTGGGCCGTTTTTTAACGACTGTGGGGCTATCTGTCATGGACTGGCATGGAGACCTTGCCATTGGATGTAATGCACAGACCCAAATCCCTGTTGGACGATTTACGAACTTGATTGGCCGTGTCAATTTTAATAACAGGGGGTCGGGACAAGTTAGCGTTCGCTTGAATAGCTCGGAACAGCTTCAAATAGCCTTAGTTGGCCTAATTCCACTTCTCAGAAAGCTGCTTGGTTATTCTCAAGCGGTGCAGTTTGGACAATGATGAAAATTAGGTTATAGGTGCTGCAACAGCCATGCGGGTGTAGGAAAAAAAAGTTAGCCCAATGCACGAGGCTCCCACCCAGTGGGGTTGGGAGGGTCAAATATATGCCATGCAGTTGTAGGAAACAATGTGTAAAATGGCCATCTCTTTAGGGTCCCGCAAACCTGAGTATTAGTTGCTGTTGATTGCTTTTGGCAGTCAAATAGTGCCTGAATTATAGTGATTGTAGTTTTCTTAATAGATGTTTACATTTATGAGTTTTGTTCTTGTCAGGTTGAGTTGTTTGTTTGGTTTGAATTATCGATCATCAAAATCAATTATGCCCTCGAGATGTGGAAAATGGGTTTTATCTCAGAATTTTTGGCTTCTCCGTATTTCTCAGGTTTTTATGATCATCTTGTTATCAACTGAGGATATTGGTACAGGGCCTGTAAACATAATTTCACTCTTTTTTGAATGAGATTGTAGTAAATGTGAAATAACTATATTATTTAGGCATATATTTTAAACTGATGTGCTATTGCTTCTTTGGTTTTGTATGTATTTCTGTTGTACATAAGACCTTGCTTGGTCTGGGGGTTGAGCTCCTAATGATGTTGTAAATTTCTGTCTATTTGATACAATATATCACTGCCATAATTTGTTCAATGTACAGTTAGAGATTCCTCCTCAATGTTGTCATCTTTCTTCGTTGAACATCCATAGGTATGGTTCATTTAAGTAACCTCTTCCGGACTCTCTTTTATTTTCAGTCCTTTACATCATTTGGTTTTATTTTAAAGTTTTACATCCTTTGGAACATCAAAAGCTATGTAACTGGAGAGATTCTTTCTTCCCTTATTTATGGTGCTTGCTGATGAACTGGCCTCCCTTTATGCCTCTTACTGAATTTTCTTTTCTGTGTGGATTATGGAAGTGGTATTCATTGGCTGGGTTTTCTGTATACATTTCATGCTCACAGTCTGCGCTAACGCAACAAAAGTATATGCATACTGTTATAAGGGCTACGATGGAATCTGAGAATTAGATCCGATTTGGGCTATGACATTCAGGGCATGAATGATGAAGGCAGAGAGGAGACTCCAATTCATGGCAATCAACTGGTGCATGTTAACTAAATTGAGAAATGTTTATGAACGCTTCAAGTAATTGCAGGCTGTGCTTTACTGATCACTTGAATGGATTCTGGGAAAAAGAGGGCACTGTTGCCGCTAGATGAGTCTGGTATGGCATGTGAATATTCTGCCATTAATTTGTTGTGTTGTAAAGGGAAGGTATGCTCATGGGTGCAAAGCATAACAAAATGCTTTGTGTTTTTAGACTTCTGGTTTGGAGCATGCTTAATGGCTCAGAGAGAGTCTGATATAGAATTCCCTGACCTGTGTTGAGTCTTGCATCGAAAATTTACAGGGACATGGGGTAATTAACTGATGCGATTTAACCACAATTACTAAATGATATGTGGAATACGATGAAGCATTAATCTAATGATTCATATAGAGTTGATAAGGAAAGGTCGATAGCAAAAATAATTGGTTAGATCCTATACCCTCATTCTGTAAGTCAAATTTCTATAAAATGTTAAAAGACGAGAAAGCTCATAGAATGTACTTCAAATTCGCATGCTGGTTACTATATATAATAGTCAAACTAAAACTGTGTGGCTAATGTTGGAACAAGGTGGATTATTTACTATCTTGATAAAAGGTCAGGCTCAGTGACGGAGTCTGGGTTTTCTATTCCTTCACGGGGGACAATCAGTGGCGGAGCTATGGTATAGCACCCTAACGTTTTTGACGGTACGTTATATACCTCCTAAATTGCACTTCACATATTTTTTATAGTTTCTAAAATTATAATTCATACCCTAAAATTATGATATTGATTTTCTATAACCTTTCACTCTTGATTTGAGTATATTGCCCACTAAACCATTCAAAACAGCCTCATAAATTATTATTATCAAAAAAGTTTATGATTTGTACAAAATACCATAAATTTGAAAGATTAATGGTTCAACAAATTCAAATTAATAATTGAAGGGTAAAGTAAAATCAAGATTATAATTTAGAAGTAGAAAGTATAACTCACCCAAATTCTTTATATATGGACCAAAGCTGTATAGAATGTTTATTGGAGAAAGACTCCCTAGAACCCCTCCGTTGGGACAGATTAAATACAAATAACTAGGCAATGATTTGTTATTTGATGTAAACAAAATCCAGGACAAGTTCATCAAACAACCAACAAATTAATTTAACAAGATTAACTTCCACTATTTTGATAGATTCTATATACCAAAATTTTTTATATAAATGACAAATATATCATCATATTTTTATTGATAAATAAATAAATAAATTAAATATATCATCGTATTTAATTAGTTAGACTAAAAAAAGCAAACAAAACTATCCACCACAAAAGACTAATTAAAGAGACGTCTAAGCATGTCTATTCAACAAACTTCCATCTACCACTCGCATTCAATTTAAATTGATGAATCCAAGAAGCAAAACTATGGAATCAATTAAACTAGTTGTTCAAGGAAAAATTCTCACTAATTGGACCATTCGAGTACAAAATAAATAATAATTACAGATATGTAGGAATAAATCTACCGACAAAACTAAACTTATCACTGTTTCTTCGGTTGATAACTTTCATTTATATTCTAAATTCTCATAACTGTCACTGATGATAATGATTTTTCTTATAGCCTGTAGGAGAAATAACTAAGCTTAATGCAACAAGAATCTTTAAAAAATTATCCAAATTTTGGTGAATCTAAAATTTGATTTCGTGTCTTTTGTTTAGTCCATGCTTTTGTATTTATTTGTGGGGAATCAATTGAACTTCGTCTCTTTGCATAGACTGGCCTCATGTTGTGTTTGACAGAAATAAAATTAAAAAATAAATGGAGAGCAATGACAAACGATGACAACAAACATATGATCAATAGTAACATGCACCAATGAAGCACTTCATCTCTCTCTCTCTCTCTCCCTGGGATTAAAGTGTACAAACACATAAAGACAAATTTACAGAAAGCACTAACGCTATAAAAATCAGTATACATGCAATTATAAATCGAGCTGAATTCGACGCTTACAACTTGCCAGGTGTTATGGTTGATTTCGGAAATAAAATGAAACTAAATAATTGTTTAGCTGAGGTACATTGTAAAATTTCAGCAAATGATCAAAATCGAGTTGAATTCGAGGCTCGATCTGCTTGGTTTGTTTACGGGCTTAGCATAAGTGGCGGAGCTATGTTAGGTGGAAAAAAAATATGGATATCATGAAAGAATTGCTACGTAGTATTATTAACTAATAATATGTAGATAAATAAGAAAATGGTTCCCCACACAAGTCAAGAACTATCCGCCCTTTGGGTTCTTCCATGGACTTCTAATTAGGATTCTGATTGCCCGATCTCCTACTTGTTATTGCTTAGTAGCATCATATAACTAGATCATTGGTAAAGATGATGTATTATTGAAGAGTTAAAATTAAGATGTATGGGACATAGGGCAAATCATAACATATTTAGATTCCCATGAAACTATATTAAAAATCTATAACTAAATAATAACATTTGCAAATTTGTCAAGACTCTAATATTCAAAACAAAAAAAGTAGGATTATTGGAGTTTTCCACACATGGAATGGGAATAATATTTATTCTCAAGAACCTGATGCGGCTCGACCTACCAATATTCTCCTACTCCTTGTTTCTGGTCAGTCCACCTTTGAATATAAAAACCTCTCTATTCTGTTCTCTTCACTACACAAACTCAGAGAGAGAGAAAGAGAGATGGGGAAGATAACTATAATTCTACTACTGTCCTCCACAATCATAGCAATGCCTATGGTTATGGGCATGGCTGAAGGGCCAAAAGCAGTAGAAGAATGGTTCTCAAAGCTTCGCCAGAAGAAGGAAAAAGTAACCAGACTTCACTTCTTCTTCCACGATACAGTAAGTAGCACGAATCCAACTGCTGTAACAGTGGCTCAAGCCAATGGTACCTCCAAATCACCGACCCTTTTTGGGGAAACCGTCGTCATGGATGACCCATTGACGGTTGGGCCTGAACACAATTCCAAGTTAGTCGGTCGAGCCCAGGGTTTGTACAGTTCAGTCGGTTTGGAGAACATAGCTCTACTTATGACCATGAACTTGGTGTTCACAGAGGGGAAGTACAATGGTAGCACTCTGAGTCTCCTTGGAAAGAATGCCGCATTACAGATGTACCGTGAAATGCCCATCGTCGGTGGAACTGGTGTTTTCCGATTAGCTCGTGGAATTGCTACGGCAAAGACGGTGTTTTTCAATGCTACCTCGTTAGATGCTGTGGTTGAGTATAATGTCATGGTCATTCATTATTGATTGATGGTGGCAATTAAGTGTTTTTGTCTTTTTCTTTCTCTGTCTATGTATTTCTTGTCTTTTGTTTAGTCTATGCTTTTGTATTATTTGTGGGGAATCTATTGAACATTGTCAAGAAATAAAATTATAAAATTAATGGAGTGCAATGACAAACGACAAGAACAAATAGATGAATAGTTGGTAACATGCACCAATGAAGCATCTGTGTATGTGTGTGTGTGTGGGATCAAAGAGTACAATAATCGGCGCAACATGATAAGAAGAATATTTATCCTTAACTTCCTGATGCCATTTTTGCAGAGTCTACCGGTAAACAGCTGTGGACTAACTGAGCAGCACTGGACTGCACACAAATGTTGTGAACCCACGGTGTTGTCTAATAAATAAAGCCCACCAGCTCCATAAAACAGAAGCATAACATTACGATTATGACCATGCATGCAATAACAAACTTTGTGTTGGGATTTAATACACTTTAAATTCACATATAAACACACATAATCGAAGAACAAATTAAAAACATAAAACAATGAGAAACAAGACACACAGATTTTACGTGATTTAGTAATTTGCTTACATCCACGAAGTTACAGGGATTTCACTATAGAGAAGAAGGAATACAGAGGGCGACTATACAATTCCAATGAAACCCTAATCACAAAAATAGCGGTCCAAACCTCTGTTCCATAGACTAAATCTTAAAAAAATTTTCATTAAAAATCACGCAATATTATTTCGGATCGGATCATCATTTAGATTAACAGACAAACTAGATTCTATAAAGGCTCAACACTTTCGAGCAAAGCAAATACAATACGTGATCTTTTCAGAAAACAACAACAACAAAGAATGTTCATGCTGCCAAAACTTAGTAGTGCATAGCTACAACATTGACCTCCACAGTAGAATTAAAGTCGGAAAAATTGAAGAAATAGGTCTTAAACACAGCAACTCCAAGGGCCAGTCGGAAAACACCAGACCCACCGACGATTGGAACCTCACGGATGGGATGCTCTACCGGGTTCTGGCCCAAAAGTGTCAAGAGAGCTACCATTGTACTCTCCATATGTGAAGACGAAGTTAATGACACAGAGTAGTCCCACCTCTGCAATGGAATCACCGGCATACAATCCCTAGGCTCGGCCCACGATCATGGAAAACAGTTCGGGCCCAACTGTTATTGGGTCATCCATTTTGTTCGTTGGCTTCTGCCACAGTCGCCGCCGTTGCATTCCGGCCAGTTACCAAGTCGTGGAAGTAAAAGTGAAGCTTGGTCAACTTTGGCTTTGCAAGGCTCAAGTTTTCGAACCATTCTTCAACTTCTTTGGGACCTTCTTCAGAGTTGCTGTGAACCACCGCCATGGCTATGAGTATTACAACTAAACAAAACATCAGAGTTTTTGATGGCTTATCCATTTGTGAGGACAAGTTTCTGTGGGTGTCGGTTGTGGTTGATGATGAGCAACGACACAGGTTGATTATGAGGAGCCAATGCTTTATATAAATTCATCCACCTGGTGATGTTGTTAAGTACCTGTAAAATCACGACATTCTTGCAAAATCACGATATCAGAAAATATTGGCTCTAGTCAACTGTGAAGATATGGATGATCACATCCTTCATCATATTCCTGTAAATCCTCCAATTAAATCCCCTGCATGCTGTAAACCCTGTAAATCCTCCACCAAATCTGCCACTATATTTCCATTCTAATTCACCTCATCCCACTGATCATGGGATTCAGCTCCCACATTTTGTGATCAAAACCTTACTGTACATGTATATAAATTAGTGACAGATGAATGAAAATATATACGATTCCAGAATTTTACATGGTATCAGAGCATTAAAAGATCCTTCATATTTCAGTCATGGCTTCCAACGTCCCTCCTTCCTCTACTTCGCAAGACTTGCCTGCCAGTAATCAGTCTTCCTTTTCAGATGAATCCATTGATAACCCATTTTTTCTTCTCCATTCAGACAATCCTGGTCAGATTTTAGTCTCCATACCTCTCAATGGTGATAATTATTCTTCATGGAAACGTGCTATGATTGTTGCACTTTCCGCCAAAAATAAGTTTGGCTTTGTCGATAAATCCATAGCAAAGCCCGATTCTTCCTCTCCTAACAGTAATGCATGGGTTTGTTGCAACCACATGGTCCTTTCATGGTTGCTTAATTCACTAGAATGCGATCTTCGGGAGAGCGTTATCTATGGGGACACTGCTGCCGAAATCTGGGCAGACCTTCAAGAGCGTTTTTCACAAAGTAATGGCTCTCGTCTCTTTCAACTTCAACGAGATATTGTTAATCTCCATCAAGATCAACTTTCTATTGCTGCGTATTACACTAAAATGAAAGGATATTGGGATGCCTTATCCAATCTCACAAACCTTCCTACGTGTAAATGTGGTGGGTCAAAGGCTATACTTGAACTTCAACAACAAACCCATTTGCTACAATTTCTCATGGGATTGAATGAATCTTACACAGCCATACGTAGTCAATTACTTCTCATGGAACCACTACCAACTGTAAACAAGGCTTACAGTCTGTTACTCCAAGAAGCAAAACATCGTGAAACCCTTCTTCCTTCAATGGACAGTACCAATGTTGTGGCCGCTGCAGCCGAACATGTTGCTGCCCATTCTAATGCAATACCCATTCTAATGCAATACGTCCTCCTCTTGACCGAAACCAACTAGCACCAAACTTTAATATTGGAACACCACCAGCATCTCATGGTGGACGTCTTAAATATCGCCAAAAGGAGCGTCCGTATTGCAATTATTGTAATCAATTGGGGCACACCCGAGAACGTTGTTACAAACTTCATGGATATCCAGCCCGTTCTTCGACCACATCTCAAGCTTATATTGCTGAGACCAATCCCAACAATAGTGCTCCATCTATCTCTCCTACAAGTGCTTCTCAATTCACTCCTGAGCAGTACCAACAGATCATGTCTCTCATAGGTACTCCACAACCCATTGCCCACTTGGCAGGTAAGAAGTCTTCGTCAATTTGGATTATTGATATGGGTGCCACAGATCACATGGCCTGTTCCCTATGATTATTTCAAGATTTTCACACTCCCATTTCTTCTATTCCAGTCCGTTTACCCAATGGTACCACAACCCCAGTTTCACATATTGGCACAGTATCTATTAATCCTCATTTCACTTTACATGATGTTTTGTTTGTTCCTGCCTTTTCCCATAATTTGATTTCTGTTAGCAAACTCACTGCTTCCCTTGATTGTGATGTTATTTTTTCCTCAACTCATTGTCTTTTTCAGGACCGACGCACGAGGACCACGATTGGGATGGATAAAGCACATGGCGGGCTGTACATCTTTGAACTGAGCACCACTTCGACCTCCTCAAATGCAGTCCACAATCCCTCATTTGATCTTTGGCGTTGGCGACTTGGTCACCCATCAGTTGCTCGATTAAAGAATTTAGCTAGGACGCACTCTTTAATTTCTTTTCATGATTGTCTATGTCATATTTGTCCCCTTGCCAAACAATATCGGCTTCCTTTTCCCAGCAGTGATATTAATTCAGTTGTTCCTTTTGATCTCATTCATTGTGACTTGTGAGGTGGTTATAAAACGCCTTCTTTAATTGACGTTCATTATTTTTTAACTATTGTGGATGATTTTAGTCATTTTACTTGGGTGTATTTAATGCGTGCTAAATCCGACACCACACGTTTCATTTTTGATTTTCTGGCCATGGTTCGCACGCAATTTAATACTACCATCAAATGTATTCACTCAGATAACGGGTTTGAATTTATTTTTCATGAAGTCCAAAATACAATCCGCAAGCATGGAATCCTTAATCAACGTAGTTGTATTGGAACCCCCCAACAAAATGGCGTTGTAGAACGCAAACACCGCCATTTGCTTGAAGTTGCTCGATCGTTACGATTTCAAGCAAATTTACCTCTTAAATTTTGGGGAGATTGCATTCTTACCGCTGCTCATCTAATCAATCGTATACCCACACCCGTTCTATCCGGAAAATCACCACATAAAGTATTATTTGGAACTTCACCTTCTTACTCATATCTTCGTGTATTTGGTTGTTTGAGTTATGCTCATAATATTAAATATACCCACAAATTTGATTCTCGCGCTCGCAAATACATCTTCATTGGCTACCCGTATGGTAAAAAAGGTTACCGTTTATATGATCTCAATGACAGTACAACCTTCACGAGTCGCGACTTAACCTTTCTTGAATCCATTTTTCTTTTTCATAACCAATCTATTCATTCACATATCTACCTAGTAACACATTTACCCATTCTTGACACCCATGGCTCAATTGATACATCTCCTACACCATTCCCAAATTCTACACCTTTGCATCCCTCCAATCCACACTCATCACCTAGTCTGCCCACATCGTCAACACCTACATCGACCTTACCTGCTGCTGCCATATCACCACCATTTCGTCATTCTTTTTGGGTTCGCACCACTCCATCATACTTGCGTGATTATGACTGTTCAACCGCCATGTTGCAGCGCTCTCCATCTAAATCCTCTGCGAAGGTATGTTCTGGTTCACCTATTCCTTTGTCTCATTTTCTTGATTATTCTAAATTTTCTTCTGCCCATCAGTCATTTCTTGCAGCAATATCTTCACACATAGAACCATGACACCTTTTTCTATGGCCATGAAGAGTGATCACTGTCGCAATGCTATGGCATCCGAGATCAAAGCCTTAGAGGATAATGATACTTGGACATTTACAAAACTTCCTCCCGGCAAACATCCCATCAGATGTAAGTGGGTTTTTAAAATTAAACGTCGCTCGGATGGTTCCACTGAACGTTATAAAGCCCGTCTCGTGGCAAAGGGCTATACCCAGCAAGAAGGTTTGGATTACCATGATACCTTTGCTCCGGTGGCTAAAGTTACAACTTTGCGATGTCTCCTTGCGGTGGCTTCCATTCGTCATTGGTCCTTACACCAATTGAACGTTAACAATGCTTTCTTACATGGTGATCTCTATGAAGAAATTTATATGACCTTGTTGTAGGGAATTTCTCGAAAGGGGGAGCCACATGTATGTCGTCTCAAAAAATCACTTTATAGTTTGAAACAAGCATCTTGCCAATGGTTTGCTAAATTCTCTTCTACTCTCATTCATGCTGGATATAGTCAATCCTAAGCCGATTATTCTCTACTTACTCGCAAGGATGGCGACCACTCCACTTTCGTCTTAGTCTATGTTGATGATGTTTTAATTACTGGTAATGACCCATCTACTATCACCAGTCTTAAAGCCTTTCTTCAGCAGAAATTCCATATCAAAGATCTTGGCACACTCAAGTACTTTTTAGGAATTGAGGTCGCTCGCTCTCCAACTGGAATTTTTCTCTCCCAACGCAAATATTTACTTGATATTCTTGATGATGCTGGTTACTTGGGTTCTCGCGCGGTTGTGATTTTCCTATGGAACAACAACTTAAGCTTGATGACACCGGTGCCATTCTTGACAATCCCAGTTTTTATCGTCGCCTTGTTGGTCGTCTCATTTATTTGACCATCACTCGGCCGGACATTGTTTACACTGTGAACATTTTAAGCCAATTTATGCATGAACCACGTCAATCTCATATAGATGCTGCTTTCTGACTACTTCGCTATTTAAAAACTACACTTGATCAAGGTATTCTTCTCTCCTCCAGCAGCCCTTTACAGTTGGTGTGTTATACTAACTCGGACTGGGCCAGTTGTCCCTTGACCAGACGATCCACTACTGGGTTTATCACACTTTCATGGAAAACAAAAAAACAAGTCACTGTGTCGCGAACTTCTGCTGAGGCCGAGTACCGGTCCATGGCCACTGCCAGTTGTGAAATAACATGGCTCAAATATCTTCTTACTGACTTGGGAGTCTCTCACTAAACACATTGAAATTGATTGTCATCTTATACGTGAAAAAATTACTCGAGGCTTGATTTCTACTCATCACGTACCAACTAATGATCAATGTGCTGACATATTCACGAAGGCTCTTGGATGTAATCAATTCCGTTTTCTTCTATCCAAGTTGGGGGCATGATCAATCTCATGCTCCACCTTGAGGGGGAGTATCAGAAAATATTGGCTCCAGTCAACTGTGAAGATATGGATGATCACATCCTTCATAATATTCCTTTAAATCCTCCAATTAAATCCCCTCCATGCTGTAAACCCTGTAAATCCTCCACCAAATCTGCCACTATATTTCCATTCTAATTCACCTCATCCCATTGATCATGGGATTCAGCTCCCACATTTTGTGATCAAAACCTTACTGTACATGTATATAAATTAGTGACAGATGAATGAAAATATATACGATTCCAGAATTTTACACACAAGGTAAAAGAAATAATGGAAAATTGAATTCTTAACTTATAAAAATATGGCAATAATATCGATTAATACACAACATTATATATCTATTTGGTGTCATTAATATAATATATCCACTAAGTGGTAACACAATGGTCATAACCATCAGAAGAACCAAGTTAAATAAAAAAGAGTCTAATTCTAATTCTATTTCTAGTGCATCCATAAATTAAAACATAAGGTAAAATTACTTTCTCAATAATATTAAATTTTAATTTTTTTTATTACTGCAATTATTTTTAACTTTTGGGCATTTCCTATTTATTTAAAGTAATTGGTAATGTGAGATTTTTAATTTTTGAAATAGTAAGGTGAAAATTTCAATTTTTTGAGGAGACGAAGTGTCATTAAATCATTGTTAAGTGTGTAGAAATTATGACTACAATGACCAATTGCAATATATAATTAGTCAAGGCCAATTAATTAGCAAAGTAAACAAAACATATCATAATTCAGGTTGCTATCGTTTTTGTTGCTAATTTAACAAGAGTTGAGCTTTGATCTGAACAAAAAGATAAAATGGGGACTGCTAAATCAAGAGGTGCCTTAAGAATCTTGAGCAAAGATTTGTCTGGTGCACCATCTTCACGTCATTTTCAACATGTCATTTTCGTGTAAGTATTTGTGTCAAGGAAAAATTATTTAATCATACAACAATTCAAAGGGCTTGTATGTTTGATGGGTTTGGGAGGGTATGTAAGGTAGTTCAAGACCACTCAATCACATGTTTGGCTTAGACTTTTAAATCCGGGATTAAGATCCCGGCCGTAACTAGCTTGGAAGATTAAACCCATAAATATGAGTTTCCACAAATCTAGGTGGTGGGTTTGAAATTAGCCAACCAAAGACATAATGGTAAAAAAATCTTTTGATCCCTAATCTATCCAATAACAAAGGATTAGATGAGACATATTAATCAATTACATGACAAATATTTAGTGATAATTATGATTAATCTATGATCCCACATGTGTTTATGTTACTTATCAAACAAAAGATTGCATAGAATTTATGTATGAATCCCGTGTACAAAAGATAGAGTTTGCGTTTGAAAAAAATTGTTAAAGACGATCAAATTGTCCTTTTCCAAAACTATCCAAGCATGCCCAAAAAGGTCAGAGAACCACCATTTTGTACTCTTCCTCTATGAAGACGAAGTTGATAACACAAAGTGATCACACCTCCTCAAAGGACCCCCGCTAGGCACGGGTAGGCAATTTTTGAAAAAATTTTTAAGAATTGATACCGAAACATATTTCTCGAACTGGACTTTATGAATCTTTATCCTTAGCGATCTCAATTCATATATGTAGCAAGTCCAAAAGAAGATGGCCAACAAAAGGCTATAATGACTTATTGGAGCAAATAGTTCACAAAATGAGGTCACTTGCTCAAATTCACAAACTATAACTCACACATAAGATAAGTCGTGCCTATAAAAAGGCACCGAGACAAAGTTCAACAGATTACCCAAAAATAATACAAAAGCATGGACTAAACAAAAGACAAGAAATACATAGACAGAGAAAGAAAAAGAGAAAAACACTTAATTGCCACCATCAATCAATAATGAATGACCATGACATTATACTCAACCACAGCATCTAACGAGGTAGCATTGAAAAACACCGTCTTTGCCGTAGCAATTCCCCGGGCTAGTCGGAAAACACCAGTTCCACCGACGATGGGCATTTCACGGTACGTCTGTAATGCGGCGTTCTTTCCAAGGAGACTCAGAGTGCTACCATTGTACTTCCCATCTGTGAACACCAAGTTCATGGTCATAAGTAGAGCTAGGTTCTCCAAGCCGACTGAACTGTACAAACCCTGGGCTCGACCGACAAACTTGGAATTGTGTTCAGGCCCAAATGTCAATGGGTCATCCATGACGACGGTTTCCCCAAAAAAGATCGGTGATTTGGAGGTACCATTGGCTTGAGCCACTGTTACAGCAGTTGGATTCTTGCCACTTACTGTATCGTGGAGGAAGAAGTGAAGTCTGGTTACTTTTTCCTTCTTCTGGCCAAGCTTTGAGAACCATTCTTCTACTGCTTTTGGCCCTTCAGCCATGCCCATAACCATAGGCATTGCTATGATTGTGGAGCACAGTAATAGAATTGTAGTTATCTTCTCCATCTCTCTCTCTCTCTCTCTCTCTCTCTCTCTGTTTCTTTACACATATATTTGCGAATATGTTAAGAGTTCAACTTCCTTTATCATACTCCATAAAAAATGATTAGATAGGAAGAGGAGAAGACAATTGATTTATGATTGGTATGTATAATGGATGAGCGAAAAATGGGGTGAACATAATTATTAATGGTTTGTAAACTTAAACGTGAAGTCTTGACAATCTCTTAGGGCGAGATTACAATGGATTTATTGCTCATGAATAATCTAGCTCCGGCGTAGATAACTTGTCTTTGACCAGACCGAGAGAAAATTAGTTGAGGTGCGTATAAGCTGGTCCGAATACTCCTAACTATTGAACTAAAAAAAAAAAAAAAAGAGGATGAACTTAGCTAGTAATGAGGTAAGTATTTATATTAGGAACTTAATAATTTGTGTTTAGAAAGCTAAATATGGTGAGAAAAGATATTTAAAGGATAACACAATACGAGTTGAAACCCTATGGTATTTTGATTTAGTTACCTGAACAGGTTGTGTTTATTTCTGCTGCTTCAAAAATTTGCAAGTCAAAAATTTTCAAATAATTTTGGCAAATGGTTTAAAACGGTGTCGTCTTTGTTACAGTATCCTTTTTGTTTGAAAGTTTTGGGGACATCGCTATCATATAAAGAAATTGAACTTGCAATTAGTGGATTTTAATAAAAAGTTGCCTTAAGAATCTTGACAAAAGATTGTTAGAAATTATATAATACGTACTGAAATGTGATTACACTTATAAAGTGACCAATGCTGTAGCATGGGATAAAGACGAGCATACTAAACTTTTTGCTGGACTCCAATTATCACTAGAAAATACTAGTCGAGCTCATTGATGTATGTCATATTGATTTTTTCCACTAAAATTTGACCTAATTTCACTTTATGACAAATCACACATGTGCGCGTGCATGGGTAAGGAAATGACGACCTACACTAAATTGAGGATTTTTTTTCAAGTAGTTGTTAGTTTTTATAAACTCAATTTTTAAAGGGTAATTTTTTGTATTTTTGTATTTATGATAAGTAATGGTATTTGAAGAGATAATCACTAGAAATGTTCAGAATATTTTGAGAGGTCTGTTCATGTATTTAGAGTGGTGTTCATGTATTTAGAGTGGTGTCCATGTACTGTTATGTGAAAAAAATGAAGAGTCAAAATCTGGTTTAATGCTTGGGGGTTGTTGTCCATTGAATGGGCAAATACAAGGACTTTTGGCTGGAAAATAGAGGTATAAAAGGGGCTGGATTGTTGTTGCCAAAACAAGATGTTATCTGTAGAAAAAACAGAGAGAAAGAGAGTGAAAAAACTCTGTTTTGGTGGAAGAAAAACCAGCAGTGTGTGACATGGGCAGAAACTCTATTCATTTGTATTTCTTGAGCGTTTGTTGCTGAAAAATTTAGATAAGTTATCTCCTTTGTATTTCTTGATATTGTGATAATTCTTGATGAAATATAATGGTGTTTCTTGCGTGAAATTAGTGTAGTAGTGGAACAGATTTTTTATCCACTGTTTTTGTGTTCTTTGGTGATCTATTTTGTTTCCAACTCCCAACAAAATTGGTATCAGAGCAAGTTGTTATGAATCTACAGAAAATTTTGAAGGTAACTTGAATTTGTTTTGTTTGTTCATGGATTGTGAGTTTTTATGTTTTGAAGAAGTGATTCAAGAAGAGAAATGGAGAATTGCAATGGATGAAGAAATGAAGGCAATTGAAAAGAATGATACATGGGCACTAGTTAGTCTTCCCCAAGGTCACAAAGCAATTGGTGTGAAGTGGGTATATAAAACCAAGAAGGATGCAAATGGTGAAGTCCAAATATACAAGGCAAGGTTGGTTACTAAAGGCTACAAGCAAAATGCCGGAATTGATTATGATGAGGTATTTGTTCCCGTTGCTCGTTTGAAAACGATTAGTTTGATGATTTCTTTGGCGGCACAAAACAAGTGGAAGATTTATCAACTTGATGTGAAATCGGCATTCTTAAATGGATTTCTTGAGGAGGAGATTTATGTTGAACAACCTTTGGGGTATTTGAAGAAGAGACATGAAGATAAAGTGTACAAGTTGAGAAAAACTCTTTATGGATTAAAGCAAGCACCGCGTGCATGAAATGCTAGAATTGACAAATACTTACTTGGTCATCCAAAAAGCTACCAATTGTTACTTTGTCTACGTGTGAAGCGGAGTATGTGACTATAAATTCAACAATGTGTCATGCTATTTGGTTGAGGGACTTGTTGAATTATTTAGAATTTTCTCAAGAAATTCCCATGGAGATCTTTGTTGATAATAGATCGGCGATGGTATTGGCAAAGAACCAGGTGTTCCATGAGAGGAGTAAACACATTGATACACGTTATCCTTTTATTAGAGAGCAAGTGAAGAATGAAGAAGTGAAGTTGGTGCATTACAAGACTCAAGATCAAGTTGACAGACATTTTTACAACGCCATTAAAACATGATGTGTTTGAAAGATTGAAAATGATGTTAGGCATGAGAACCCAAAGAATTGAGTTTAAGGGGGGATGTTAGTTTATATAAACTCAATTTTTAAAGGGTAGTTTTTTATATTTATGATAAGTCATGATATTTGAAGAGATAGTCACTAGAAATGTCTAGAATATTTTGGGAGGTCTGTTCATGTATTTGGAGGAGTGTTCATGTACTGTTATGCGGAAAAAATGAAGAGTCAATATCTGGTTTAATGCTTGGGGGCTGCTGTCAATTAAATGGGCAAATACAAGGACTTTTGGCCGGAAAACAGAGGTATAAAAAAGGTTGGACTGTTACTGCCAAAACAGGATGTTATTTGCAGAAAAAAGAGAGAGAGAGAGTGAAAAAACTGTGTTTTGCTTGAATAAAAACTAGCAGTGTGTGACATGAGCAGAAACTTTATTTCTTTGTATTTCTTGAGTGTTTGTTGTTGAAAAATTCAGATAAGTTATCTCCTTTGTATTCTTTGATATTGTGATAATTTTTGATGAAATATAATGGTATTTTTTGAGTGAAATTAGTGTGGTTGTGAAACAGATTTTTTATTCTCCGTTTTTGTGTTATTTGGTGATCTATTTTGCTTCCAACTCCAAACAGTAGTCCAAACTGGAATTCATCGTACATTAGAGTAATAATAAACAGCAGACAAGAAATATTTAAACACTGAAAGAAACCGGGAAACAAACATGCCATGCCACCATGGATCAATAGTGAATGATCATGACGCTGTACTCAACCACAGCATTGAACGTGGTGGTACTGAAGGAAAATGTCTTTGCCGTAGCTATTCCACGAGCTAGTCGGAAAACACCAGTTCCACCGACGATGGACATTTCACGGTACAGATCTAATATCGAGTTCCTTCCAAAAAGACTCAGAGTGCTACCGTTGTATATTCCATCTGTGAACACCAAGTTCATGGTCATAAGTAGACCTGCCTCTGCCAGGGCGGCTCCACTGTACAACCCTTGGGCTCGACCCACCGTCTTGGAATGGAGTTCAGGCCCTACCGTCAAGGGGTCATCTGCAACGAAAATGTCCCCGAAAAGGGTAGCTGAACTAGAGGTAGCATTTGAGAGGACGACTGGCATAGACGTTGAATTCTTTCCACTTGCTATGCCGTGGAAGTAGAAGTGAAGTTTGGTTACTTTTTCCTTCGTCAGGTCGTTGAGCTTTGAGAACCATTCTTCCACTGCTTTTGGCCCTTCAGCAATGCCCAGAACCATAGGCATCGCTATGACTATTGAGGTAAGTAATAGAATTATAATTAGCTTCCTCATCTCTCTCTCTCTCTCTGTGACACAATAGGAGTTGAACATACGACCCTATTTATACTAGTAGATGATGTGAATTTGAGAAAAAAAAAAGATGAGAATTAATGATGCTTTGCAACTGTAAATATATTAGTGTTAAAACTCTCGAACAATTTAAGTTTTTAGAATAAACGATTGATTAATTAGCATGGTATCAGAGCAGATGTTTGAAATTTATCGTCGCTACCCTAATTATTAAAAAAAATTCACATGACCTAAAATCTTTCATGCTAGTATACATTTTGAGTAATGCTAGACTAACCAAATTTTGAGATCAAATTTAAAATCCAAATAACATGATAGTTGATTATTTGAAATTTTTATTGGAACCCGAATGACATGACACCAATAAAAAAAATCTAGCACGCACAACTACCATGTCATTTAAGCTCTAAATTTAATTCTAAAATTTGGGCACTCTAACCTTACGGATAAATTTTTGGTGCAGAGGCATGCATGAGAGCATATAATGACTTCTTCCACCCAAAAACATAGTGCTGGCTGCCATGGCTGGTACAAGCACTAAGAATGTACCTGAAAAAGGGCATGAAGAACGTACATATAAAAGAAGATTGGACACTTTCAATTTCTCTTTTTTGGCAAATCAAAATTAGATTAATAATTATCAATTATCATCCATTTGGAGACATTGAGTATCTATATATATGATTCATGAATACATGCAAGTAGGGTTTAACCGTTGGTATAGTTATTACTATCATGAATTAAATGAATTTTCAATACGAGACTTCTATAGTTCCATACAATTGTATTACCCGTCTGCAAGCACCAAGTTGATTTTCATATACAGAGCAAACTCCTCCAGCGGAGGCTGAATTGTACATCTCTTGGGCTTGACACACAATCTTGGAAGAGAAATATTATTTGTACTTAAAAAATTGATCTGCTTTGTTAACTCGATGAATCACAACTATTGAAAAAGTCGTAAATCCTAATAAATACTGAAATTCATATCTAAATTAATGGTAATAATTGATCAAGTTAATTTTTCTTAGAATTAGATTAACGCTTTACCATAAATTCAAATGCTTAATGTCCAAATCACAAGAAATTAAAGTTAGAATCTAAATGGATAATTTGATCTATTATTGTCATTGAAGTGACAATGGGGTATGAATTAATATCATCCAGTGACATTAATTTATTAAAGTAATAAATTAAACTTATTGGTGACAGTAGGGTTGGCTTGTTTCGTGTGACAAAATGGATCCAATAGCAATCCCCCTCATCCATCATGCATCTTAACCTAAACTATGTCTTTCCCTTCATATCTCATCTCACACATATATTTGTATCGTTGGGTGATAGTAGGATTGGCTTGTTCTGTTACTAGTAATTCCTTAAAATTGCAAAAGTTATAATTTAATTATACTCTTTTATAAATTTCAAAAAAAATAAATAAATGAATTGTCTAATGTTTTTTCTCTTTTTCCTTAGATCTTCATGACAAAAACGTTATTTCAGTTTAATGATTGATGATCAATTTTGTGTAGGTTGTCATTTCCTACCATCAAGTAAAATTAAGTCAAATTATAATGGAAAAAATCAATATGAAATGTTGTATCAATGGGCTCAGACTAATATTTTCTAGTGATAATTGGGGGCCAGTATGGAGTTTAGTGTACACATCTTTATTCCAAGCTATATAGCATTAGTCACTTTATTAATCACTATGAGACAAACGGAAGCCTTTCAACATTTTAAAATTAGAAGTAAATTAATGAACTTTTCCAGATCAAAAATAATAATAATAATAATAAAATTTTCAGTAGAAATTTAAAAGAACATAATTCTGTTATGGAGTGTAAATTGACTAGGACTAGGGGTGTCAAATGGTGAATTGGTAACCCTAACGAGATTTCGATATATGTTCCCATTGATGTAAGTAGAATTTCTATTAAATTATGTAGATCTCGTATGTTTTTTTTTGGGAGATATAAATGGACGTTCATATAGAAGAGAACCAATGATCCATTTAATCGTATTTGATTATGCCAGAGATTTCATGGAATTTATAATATAAATTAGGACAAATATTAAAAGTCTATTCGACGGTTTCAATTAGACTCATTCAATAGTTACTAACATCCATTTCAAAATCATTCACATTAAATTCTCCGCCTCCCAAAATTCATTTCTTTTCACTTACGTTGCATCGTACCTTTAGATACGAGTTAACCCTAGTTATATTACATAACTAGTCATACCCGTCCAAAGCACGCCTTTTCTTTTAATGTATGAGTTGAGTTATTGTATTTAAAAAATTAAAATTTAAGTGAGTTATTGTTGTTAAAAATTTAAAAATTTAAATGAGTTACAGTAATTAAAAAATTAAAAAGTTAAATAGTAATATAAACGTCAAGCAAGATGTCATCGAAAATAAATAATCTGGATCGTTGTTGTACTTTTTTAACCGAAGAGCTCAAGGAGCTCAAGCATGAAACTATGTATTATTATTACAGATATTCTTTTTAGTACTGCATGCAATGCAATGCTAGTTCAAATAAAAGTAACAAGTGTGGCATTGTAACCCACTATGGCATTACCCGTGGTAGGGTCAAGCGAATAGGTACGGGCTATGACATAACCCCGTGCCAATCGGAAGATACCGGTGCCACCGACGATCGACAACTCACGAACCGGATTGAGAGCAGGATTTAGGGTGGCAATGGTGAAAGAGCTACCGTTATATATACCACCTGTAAACCCAAAGTTCATGACCATGATCAGAGCAAGCTCTGTCTGTCCAGCAGAACCATAAAATCCTCGGGCTCGGCCCACGAGCTTCGAATTCGGGTCAGGTGCCACGGTTAAAGGATCATCAACCATCATGAGAACACCAAAACCAGTGGGTGAAGTGTTGGTCTGGTTAGCTTGAGCCACCCGCACTGCACTTGGGTTCTTTCCACTGAGTGTGTCATGGAAATAGAACTGAAGGTTTGTCACCGTCTCTTTTCCATTATCATTTCTATTTGCCCAGCTTACTTGATCACTCCCATCTTCTTGGGTTTGAGCCAATGGCATGGTTATCACAAGGAAGATGAGCATTACAACCATGGCTAATCTGGCCATCTCTCTCTCAATATGTTCTTTGAAGCAAAAAGGAGAATGGAAAGGTTTTTATAGTTGTGTAGAAGAACAGGTCAATGAGACCAATTCATCCGCAGAAGACTCCTCTGTTTAAGGAGTTCAAAATATTGGGGTTTTTTTTTGTGGAGCGTAATTTTTTATGTTGATCCGGACGATGACCCGACTCAAAAAATGTTGTATGATTTTTAATGAGAAATTTTCTGAGGCTTAGTTCATGGAATAAAGGCTTGGGCCGATTTTTGAGCCTGTTTGGTTGTAGTCCGGTGCAAGACATATAAATTTTTTTTTTTTTTGGTGATTAGGTTTTGATTGACTCTGTACAGCCGCCGCCCTCTCTGTAATCGTTCTTGAGATTAGTGAAATCCCTGCAGTTTCGTGGACGTAAGCAAATTGTCGAACCATGTAAATATTGTCTTGTGCGTTTGATTATTTTTCTTTGACGTGTGTTTTCTCTATTGTTGTTTCTCAGGTTTGAGAATTTTGTGTGAATTTCCTAACACAAAACACCTCAACAAACTCCACTTGTTTAGGAGTATAGCTAACAACTTTTCAATTTTAAATGCATACGTTGTATAGGCAACTAAGTAGGATAACAGTTACTGTTCTATTAAAAGTCTATTTAAAGTCCTTGTATACGTACAACAAAGATACAATAAAAATTCAAGCCTTCAAATTCTTATCAACTTGAATATATTTTCTATAAGTTGGAGATTAAACCGAGCTCAAAAACCAACTCTTTACTTAATCAAATATAATATTACCTTGCGTTTGAATCGTGGTAATCTTGGTTAAGAATGATAATTTCATGAATTACCATGTTCGGGTGGTTAATAAATCAATAATTTGTATCGAAAATAAGATTATTAATAGAATCAAATTCTCAATGATAGTGAGAATCTTTAATCCACCATCAATTGGGGTAATCTTATACCCAACTTAATTGGGTATTCTAAAAACTAAATTAAAAAAAAAAAGTCAAATTCAAAGTCCTTCACAAAATTTAATTTGTTGCTAAAACCAAGCTATCTTCCTAAAATCTTGTTCTTTCCTAAAATAAAGTTCATTATTAAAAATATTACTAAAATAGATATACACTACTATACTAAATTACTGACGATACAAAACATTAAATAAAAAATTACTACGATATTTGAAACTTAGGTATCACTTTACTAAGAATAAGATACTCATTCTCGATTAACATTATTGTAATCCGAATGAGATGTTAATATTATTGTTATTATTAGTAGTTGGATTTGATTTCAAAACTTGTTAAAAGTCTTCTCCCACGTAACAGTTTAACTTTAGTTTTGCACCAGTTTATTTTAACTCAATTATTGTAACGGTAATTATAGGATTTTTTTTTAGTGAAAAAGACAAAATAGTGATTGGATAAATTAAGAGGAGATCAGCCATTTACCAACACCAAGTTGATGCTCATATGGAGCGCAAACTCCTCCAGCGGAGTTTGGTTCATCAAATGCTTAATGTCCAAATCAGAAGAGATTAAACATCTACAGCCACAAAATTTGGTATTAGAAAACCAGCCAGTGGGCAGAACCTATATAGACATAGTTAAAATTTAATAATAAAGTCTGTGACATAATTAGATGTGAGCAACGTTGTCACTTTTTCTATAGTCATATCATTGTCCAATTTGGAGAAGCTCCTAATCCGAACCGAATCCGAATAGAATAGAGAGTGGAACAAAACTTGATTTTTCCATCTAACCCTCTAAAATAAAGAATGAAGTTAAAATAAACAAGTCATTAAAGATACTCCTAGATTCGAACATTTTGTTATTCAAGCGCAGTTAACTAGGGATATTTAACACTGTTGACTTTCCACTTAGCTTGTAACTTTTTGTGGAAGATCCGCAAAAATGCAAACTTGTGCATGCTACATACACACACCAAAAAACAAAAATCCGTTAATTTTTCTTTCTTTAGTTGCATTAATGATCGTGTGTTTATACTAAAGATAACTGAAATAGATAAACAAGATAAGTGGATAGAATTGAAAAAACTCGACCAACCTTTTAAAGAAGGGACCAACTAATTAGGCAGAAAGTAGGTGGAATAAGTGCTCTCACCAGCCAGTGGAAAATCCAAATCCCCCACAGTGGACAAGTATTGTTGATATTTATAGTATAATACTCGGTCAAGTCGGGCTGCTTGCCGCGACCCTTTGACACTTACGCCAACCCACAATTGTATTGACTGTGGCGATACCAGTGTTCACTAACCGCGAGTCACATGTTCCAACATTAATTAAATGGATGTGATGTTTCCCTAAATGTAATTTGAACGTAGCCCCTGGGAAGGGGTGTGATAGCCAAGACAAAAAGAGACTCCCAAGGTTAAGCTGTCGCGACACTGGTTGGCTGTCGAGGCACTGTGGCGCCTACCTAGTGTACTGGACCTTGTTGGGCCCCATTGCCATGTAAGTTGTCAATCTTTGTCATTTGTTTACTCATAATGTGAATACGTGTTTTGAATTTATCGAATATTAAATTATTCATATATAGTAGATTCTCACAAATGATACAAAATCATGTACCGAAAGAATAGACGAAAAATAAAAAAAAAAAAGGGAAAGAAAAAGAGATTAGAGAAGAGAAAAAGGAACCGTGCCATAAATTAATAATGAATGACCATGACATTGTACTCAACCACAGCATCACCGGAGGTAGTATTGAAAGTAAACGTTTTTGCGGTTGCAATTCCACGTGCTAGTCGGAAAACACCAGTTCCTCCGACGATGGCCATTTCACGGTACTCATGGAATATTTGGTTCCTTCCAACAAGACTGAAAGTGCTGCCATTGAATTTCCCAGCTGTGAACACAAAGTTCAAGTTCATAGCCAGACCTATGTCCTCCAACGAGGCAGAACTGTACATCCCTTGGGCTCGACCCACCAGAGTGGAATTGGGTTCGGGCCCTACCGTCAATGGGTCATCTGCAATGAAGACTAACCCGAATAAGGTAGGTGATGTGGAGCTACCATTTGCTTGGGCCACTTGCAAAACTGTTGGATTCTTTCCACTTGGTGTGTCGTGGAAGTAGAAGTGAAGTTTGGTTACTTTTTCCTTCTTGTGCCTGTGCTTTGAGAACCATTCTTCGACTGCTTTTGGTCCCTCAGCAATGCCTTCAACCATTGGCATGGATAACATTATGGAGCAAAGCAATAGAATTATTAGCTTCTCCATCTCTCTCTCTCTCTCTCTTGGCGCAGAGGACAGGCTAAAGAGACTAATTTTTATAGGAGGATGGACCCGAAATGACATCTGGCTTTTGAGAATTAATATTCTTTCCCTCTTGTTGAATTGGAAAATTACCAATAAATTCTTCTTTTTTTTTCTGCTAAATATATACCTCTATTCCTATTTTTTTCTGTTACTAGTAACTCATTAAAATTGCGGAAATTGTAATTCAATTATACCCTTTAATACTTTCCAAAAAAAATTGTCTAATGGGGTTTTCTCTTTTAACTTAGATCTTTGTGAAAAAAAGCACTATGATGCTTTCTGTGCTGCTAATTTTGAACGCAATTATACCAAAATAATAGCTAGATTTTATCATATATTCATACTTGATTATCAAAATTCAGATCAAAACACAATTCATTTATTTTTGTTGAATTCAAGTTCTAATATATGAAATGTGATATACTGAATTTGGATTGGACTTAAAAATTAATCTATATCCAATAAATCCAATTCAGATCCGAGTCAAATTCATACTAAATTCCGATACATTGGCGGGACCCATGTGGAGGAGCCCTTTGCACGTAACTGTCCACTACACACACACACACACACATATATATATATATATATATATATATATATTTCACATTCTCTAGGAAAATTTCCATATCCCAATGAAATAAAAATGTTTACAAGAAACTTGTATCTTACCCTCCCAATTCTTATAAAATGCTTGTGTTCTGATATTTTACATTCTACATCATATCTTGTGTTTATTGAATTATGAACTACTAAAGAACCGAAAAATTGTCATACAATTATTCATTTATTTTTAAAAAATAGAGAGCAACGTATATGATAGAATAGATCTATTTACATAAACTCATAAACAATTCAAATAGGTTTTATTCAGCCCAAAATTAAAACATTTGTTTTAGGATGGTAGTAGGCCACTAACTTATTGAATTTTTTTTTTAAAAAAATCAGTCACACCTATTTTTCACAAAATTAATGGGGCATAATTGTCAAATTTTAAAAATTATTAGTACACATAAAAGATTGGTTCAAAAGCGGGGGGGGGGGGGAGAATCCCCCTCACTTAGGGGAATTCAAATTTATGATAATTTGAAAATTTTGATCTTACCTTATTTTATCGAATTTTACTGATCGGCCACTAGAAAGAATCGGATAAGCCAATGGCAGAATTTTTAGTATTTCGCAAAAAATCGAGTAGGAATATGGAGTACCTTCATAATTTTTGTATTCTTACCCTACTCTACTCATATATATATTAATCCCTAGAAATTAAAATCTAAAAATCCTAATGGAATACCATAATTTCTACCCGTAGGGTAGAATGAACACCATAACCCTCACCTAATATAGCTCTGCCCCTTATGTTAAACCCGTAAAGGAACCAAGCAGATCAAACCTCAAATTCAGCTTGATTTTGATTTGTTAAAAATTTACAATTTACATCATATAAATAATTATTTAATTTCATTTTATTTTCGAAGTCAACTGAAACAGTTTGCAAGTTGTAAGCTTTGAGAGTTAAATTCAGCTAGATTTTGATTTGTTTAAGATTTACGATCAACAACATCTAAACAATTATTTAATTTCATTCTATTTCCAAAGTCAACCGAAACAACTGGCTCGATTTTGATTTTTTTAAGATTTACGATCAACAACATCTAAACAATTATTCAATTTCATTCTATCTCCGAAGTCAACCGAAACAACTTGCAATAAATTGCTTGTAACTATGCATACGAACAATCATGTGGTGAACGTCACTTACTTTATATATATATATATATATATATATATATATATATATATATATATATATATTTGGGTAAATTATAAAATGTTTTTTTGAACTTAAGGTCAATTATAGATCACTCCTTTCAAATTTAACGAGTTTCACTTAACCCTCTCTTACTTGTATATGAATTATAAATCTAACAGAATTCATCTATTTTAACAATGAGTAAATCGCATGCGTTAATTAAGTGCGTGAGTTACCATAAATGTCCACCAACCCTTGAGAAATTGTCGCTTTGATTGTACAAATAATTGAAACTATGACCTTCTTCCAAAATGAATCAAGAGAAGATTGAAGCTGCCAATGCCATAGCTCAGTAGTACATAAAGCTACATCATTCTGCTCTAGAGTAGCATTATTAGCAATAATAATGCAGAACTTGTTCGCAAATACAGCAACTCACGACCCGGATGCATCGTTGGCTTGTGTTCGTTTTTCTCTCCTTTAACTGTATTTTTAACTCAATTTTTTCTTACCCGTCATCTTTAATCTCTCTCCTTCTCACACACACACACACACACACAAAAGTACCTACGATTTAGGGTAAATTACACCGATAATCTTTGAAACTTATTGTTTATTGAATTTTTGTCCCTAAAATTTTAATTTTATTAATTTAGTCCTCAAAGTTGAGAGATTAGACAAGTGTGGTCTTTTGCACTAATGGGCATTTAAGTCACCAACGAAAAACCCTCACGTGCATGGCATGTGATTGGTACTATGGGTAATTAGGTCATTGCTCACCACTCTTACATCCAAACATTCTTATTCTCCTTTTAACTGCTTCAAACCTAGACCCAAACATACTATTTCTTCCTCCTTTTCTTTTTAGTATTACTAGTTAAGATACACGTGCGTCATGCGTGGACCAGTTTGGATTAAATTAGTATGAATGAAAGCCGTTGACCATTTTTCCCCAAATGTATCTTTAGCAAACAATCATTAATCAATCAAAGAAATCTTGCATTCGGTCTCTCAAATGAAGTAAATATAAAAAATGCATCTGAGAAGAAATGGAGTTTTAAATAGAAGTTGAGTTTTTATTCAAAAGACATGAACAAATTTGGAAAGATTAAGTGAATTATAGAGGAACAAAGTATGTAATTCATGCACAAATTGGTAAATTGAACAACCTTGCCTATTTTATGCTATTTGGACGAACAAAGATTAAAAAAATATGCAATTGTTGTAAAGAGAAATCCAATAAATTATAAAAGATGCATTTTATATATGAGATTAAGCCAAAAGTGTGCTTAGACTGTCTAGAGTTTAATGAAGCAGTGGTGGTTGAGGGTTACGTATTTTCAAATAAATCCATGGGTTGAAACCAAATCTTAACTCACTTTTTTTAGGTACCAATTAAATGAGAGAGTCTGTAATACATCCAAAGTGTAACTTACACATTGAAACATCTGTTATTAGGTTTAACTTTAAATGAGCAAGCTATTAGTTGCTAGTGGTTTTAGGACAAAATTGTCATTTACAGTACTAATCGGTGATGTGTAGATGCATTGCACTCGAATTGTAAGGGTCAAGAATGAGAAATGATTGATATATTGAATCGTATTCTCTCATTTAAAATTCAGTTGACTTGTTATGTTTATCAGGAAGGTGGAAGAGGAAATTTTTTATTTTTGTTTTGAGTAAGTGAACAGGATCAATTATTAGGGACTCAATCACTTTTGATACTTTTGCTCACTTTTCCTTAATATTAAATTACTCGTCATGCATTCAAATAGCATCCACCATATATACAAGAGTCCTTCACCAATGCACGATGGATAATTCATCGAGTGACAATGAACTGTAAGAGATGTGGATTCAATCCTAAAAGACTACATGGGATGCGTGTAATTAGCAAAATTGCTTGTTTAAGACGAAAATGGGCAAAAAATGCTAAGTTCAATATTCTTCAAGGATTGACCCAAAAAAAAAATGTTCTACAAGGGATATCAATAGAGCTGTTAAGAGAGAGATTGAAACACTTGACTAGAAAGAGATTCCTATTCGAACTAACACAAAATTATGATTTTTTTGAAAATAAATTTAAAAGAAGTATTTCTAGCTTTAATACACAAAAGAATCATATATAAGCTCTTAATACCGAATTGAACTCGAGTGTAGACCACACACTTCAATACAGAGCTTTCCTTTTGTAATATCCCAACACAAACCTCAAAGAATTTGCTTTAATGCATTCCAAATGAGACACTCAATGAGTATTGATGGGCCCGGACCAAGACCCAATTCAGGTTGTGGGCTCAACTTGAGTAAAGGATCCACTTATACAAAATTTAATGGATCCAACCCAAAAGAGATCATCAAGGAGTAGACAACGTCATCTCAAGAGTCTCATCCATGCAACCTTGGAATAAGAAGTGAGGAAGTCAACTATGCCATCCTAAGACATGATCTTGAAGAGAGCCCCGCAACAACCTCATCCGTTGCGAACATGATGCCACCTCTACCAAATTAGTCTTTTAGTTTCTGATAAGCCACCGCAATTTGTTAGGAGGTGACTATAAAATGTAAGCTCCACCTACACATGTGAGACATCTCACACAATCGAGCACATCTTGTATCACTCTCACTTCTCTCATAACTTGTACCTCACCTGAGCTCTCATTGCTCTCACCTAATCTCCTTACACTCCTACAACAATAAAACACTCAGGTCATCCTAATCCTTCATCGTGGAATAGATCACTTTAACTGAACCATTTATATTGTGTATTGTTTGTGTTGAGTTTTCTCTCTCTATTTTATTATCTACATTAATTGCTTGACAGGTGGTGTACAAAACTAATCTGTGCATCATCGAGTATAGTGGTAGTTGATCTTAAATATGAGTCTTAACAATGAAAATATAACAACTATTTTAGTCCCTATTAATTGGGATATGGGGTTTGACACTAATTTGCACAAAGTGACTGCTTCGCGAAATAAATCTCACTGCAGTCCTCTAAACAATATACTCGGAAGCAAATAATATACATTATTATATCAGGACTTTAAAACAAAATAGATGAGGTCTTAGAGGTAGACAAAGATAGACAACAGACAGAGCACATCCATGTAGCATTGAAAATAATGCTAGTCAGTCTCTCAAGTGCAGCAAGCAAGTTCTTGATAAAAAAAAAAAAAAAGCAGCAAGTATGTCACTACCTTTGATA